GAGGGGAGACACAGAGAAGCAGGAGAGGAGGGGAGACACAGAGAAGCAGGAGGGGAGGGGAGACACAGAGAAGCAGGAGAGGAGGGGAGACACAGAGAAGCAGGAGAGGAGGGGAGACACAGAGAACCAGGAGAGGAGGGAAAAGCACAAGATGCTCCCGGGCCAGGGAGAGACAGAGAGCACGTGTGCAGGAGCGTCTCCCAAGACGACGAAGAGGACAGGTAAAGGCGCCTCAGGCTGTGGAGGGCCCCCCATAGTAGCTTGCCTCTTCCCTTCCTGAGCATTGTCTCGTTCCAATCCCCTCGTCTTCTCTTGTTGTGCCTGTGTGTGTGTCTTCTGCTAACACAACCGATTACCGCACTGCAAATTACTGTCGGGTTGGTTTGCAGTACGTTGATTTGTAGCCACTAGATCTGATTGATTTTGTTTACCAACAAATTTAAGTTTGATTTTACTTTGTGTTCTTAGCATGAATTCACAGTCCATTATACCTTGCTTCCCTCTAAAGATGAATGAAAGGGGAACTTGCATATCTTTTTACCAAGAGTGGAGACTTCTTAGGGAAAAGGCAGTACCCTTAAAATAAGATTCTATTTACAAAAAAAAAAAATAATTGCTTAGTAGAAAAAATCTTAAAAAAAATTGGAAAACGCTTATTAAGTCTCTATTTCCCTTGAGACTTACTGATTTTCTGAGATATTCTAGTGCATTTTGAGGCCTGAGAACAGTTAGAAACAGGAACAGTATTCTCTATGTCCTGGCATTTGTGGTTCTTCTGGTTTTGTTGTTTGAAACAGCATCTCACTCTTAGCCCACACTGGACCTGAACTTGCTATGGTTAGGTCAGGCTAGTATCAAACTCATGATCCTCCTGCCTCAGCCTCTTAAATGCTCAGACTCCAGGCATGCACCATGCTGCTGGTCCATGATTCCCGGGTCTGTCTGGAGGACAGATGTGTTAGATCATGCTCTTCTTACCATGCACCCAGGTGGAGAGACTGCGAGGGGAGGGAGGTGGCCCAGGAGACACCGTATAACATAAGAGCAGTTGCTCCCCCATAACAGAAGCCACTGAGTCTTCCGGTGTGTGCAGCACACTGGAGTCCACAGTGTGCAGACGGACGGCCTGTCTCAAGACGAAGTGTTTGCTTTAATTACATCTATTTGAGAATGAAAATTGCAAATAATGTCATTTTTAAGGAATCGAGTTTTCTAGCAGAAATTGATTTTTAAATTATACAAATTTTACTTGAGAAGCAAAACCTGTTTATATGTCAGATTTAAATTATCATATCAAGACCCATTTCACATTGTGCTTTTCTCAAAATGAAGAGAGGACAATCGGGATAGGAGTTTTCTCATTTAGTATACAATTCAGTTGCGTATATTTCTTTTCTTCTCAGATGTATCTATACCCTACTAGGTCTTTATAGCATATAGTAAACATAAAAACTTACCTTTAGTAAGGTACATTCTGTCATTTGACTCTAAACCAGTAGTTCAAGTTTGTTTTGTTATATATCTAACTTGATAATTATATAGAGTTATCATATAATTAAAACAACCATTTCCTGATTTGTGGACATTATGATCATGTCACAACTAATTCATAGAGGAAAAATTTCTGAAGGATCGTCTACTTTCTTCAGGAGCATAGCAAAATGTGAGTCTCATGCATTTTCTCTGTGCTGGACAGAGAAGACATGAGCCTTTGAAGTTTGCCTAGAGCCAGAGTTTCTTACTGGTACCTGGCTTGGTGGGCAGAAGCTCAGAAGTGTGTGATGTAAGCTCTCTACTTTTAAATGCTGCTATCACCATTTTCTTCAGGACAAAAAGGTCATTTTATTTTTATTAGGGCAAGGGAGATGATTATATTCCTAGCGAGATGATTATTTTGTACTCAACTTACTGTGGATGCTGTGGACCTGTAAATTTCAAGGGCCAGGTTGATGTCTCTAGGCAACTTATGTTTTTTAAGATGACAAGAAGTAACTACAATTGCTCATAAGAAAATGTTAGTGTTCCTCATTCATTATGACTATAAATTCTTGAATTCTTAGGATCAATCTAACTGTCTTTATTCTGAGGGGAACTATGTATGGTTATTATTAGCAACATTGTGTTTTGGTACTTGATATTACAATCATAGATTGTTTAAAAACTAAACGTAACTTAAATTCTTATACAACATTGTTGGAAGCTGACTTATTCTACAGTAAGCAGTGGACGTTTCATATCTTTCACTTTGAATTCAAGTTTTACCAAGAAAAAAGAATTGTCACTGTTGAGTATTTATAACAGTTCTGATCCTTACCATAATGACTTTAATACACACGAATGCTGTTATGATTGCTATTATCTTTGCAATGATTAGACCTTGTTGCAGGATGCATATTTCAATGCAAGACTGTGTTATTCATTTGTAGTGAGTCATATTAAAGTAAATTTGCCAAATGTTTAAGAAGAAAATGGGTAGCAAAAGTAAATTTAAAATAGTTCCTTAAATGTTAGTTTTTATATTTTGATTAATGAATGATAGCATTCACAATTGAGTGTTTATATTTACACACACACACACACACACACACACATATGGTAAAATTTTCCCGTCACCTTAGTGATTGCACGTGGTACACTGTAGAAGGTACAAGTATATTACATACATTTTCTGGTTATGTTATACAATAGGGAAGGGAGAAATTAGGACTAGATAAGATACTGAGAGATAAAGAGAAATCATTCATTCAACCAGTATTCAAGAGAAATCATTCATTCAACCAGTACTTATTTAGAAAACATCTCATGTACTGAACTGATAACTGAGACAGAAATGAAATGAAACATTTCTACACTGGAGGTAAAATGGTTTCTTAGTTAAAATAAAATAATAAAAAAAGAACAAAAAAAAAGAACAACTCGTTAATGTAGCTGTCATGAAGCACAGTGCTGTAGGAAGGGGATGGAAGCTGAAAACCGAACAGTGACAGAAATACCTCTTCAGACCCGCCATCTCCACAGCTTCGTCTCCAAACTAAACCCTGGCCATTCTTCCGTGTCCTGCTCGGGGACATGAGGCAGAGATTAAAAGTTCAGAAACTTGCCAGGCAAGTGGTGGCGCACGCCTTTAATCCCAGCTCTCAGGAGGCAGAGGCAGGCGGATCTCTGTGAGTTCGAGGCTAGCTTGGTCTACAGAGGGAGTTCCAGGACCGCCAGGGATACACAAAGAACCCCTGTCTTGAAAACCAAAAACAAACAAACCAGAGAGAGAGAGAGAGAGAGAGAGAGAGAGAGAGAGAGAGAGAATTTTCATAAGTTTATATTAGTACTATATCTATAAATGCTGCACAAATATACTTTTCATTTTTAATGAAGACTACTCTTCCAATAAGAATTTTTTGGAAGAAAACATTGGTATAGATTCAAGTTTTCATGATTAGTTGTTTTTATAAGAGAGATTTACACTATTGAATTGTCGAGACAGGAGAGCAGTCGTTATTTAAATATTGATACAAAGGTATTGCTGATGGGATACTAACTTTATATCATAGTTTCCATGATGGTTAAGATGAGAAAATAGACTCACACCACTTTAATGGGAAAGTATTATAGCGGGCACAGTGACTCGTGCCTGCAATCCCAGCACCCGAGAGGCTGAGGCAGCAATGGTGCCGCCACATGTTTTTAAACAAAGAGGAGGCGGGGCCGGGGGAGAGGACCAGCAGTAATATTTCATGTAAAAATAGCTATGACTGGGACACTAAAATCATGTGTTCTCATCTTCACTCTGGCCTGTATAGCTGCCTGCTTTATCTTCCTAGTCGTTTTTACCTTGTCAGTGGTTCACTCTTTCCCAGAGTTTGGATGCACACA